GTTAGATGCCATTCAAATGATGGTACAAGAATTTACTTCTCAGTAGCATTTCTTTTTGTTCAGATACCTGAATGATTTTAATCATTTTTAAATTTCTCTGAAATTTAAAAAATAAATGTTGGCTTTTGGCTATTTCAAATTTTCAAATATATGGCATCTTTACCAATTAAACTGAAAAGACTTTTTGCAGAATGAGTTAAAAGACAGAACTTGTGATAAGCATTTGACTGATAATAAACATGGAAAATACTGGTTGTTCTTTATAAAATCAAAGAAAACACTTCTCTCAAACTCCAAATTTTGTGTATATTTTGGGGCCTTAAGAGTTGATGGTTTTATTTATGATTTTGTAGATTAAGTTATTTATGTATGAAACAAAGTAGGAAAATATATTGAAAAAGGAATATGTTTACAGAGAGGACTTTCATGTGTCACATTTCTTAAATGTAAACATATTTTTAATGCACACTGAAGTAATACTTGAGAAAGCAAAATAACAAAATTGAAGTGTCACGTGTCAGTGACAAAAATAAATACATAGCTGTATAATGGTAAAAATTAAGATTAAACAAAGATCAATATCTGCTTTTTTCCCTTTTGAGAAAAAAGAATACTACAGACAAAATCAACTTCCTGTCTCCTTAGTTACCAACAAGAAAATTCGAATATGGGCTGGGGATTTAGCTCAGTGGTTTCACCGCCTGCCGCACAAGCTCAAGGACCTGAGTTCAATCCCTGGTACCAAAAAAAAAAAAAAAAAGAAAAGAAAATTCGAATAGAATATATGTCCTTACTTCTGATGATCCCTACTGGTGTCGGAAATAGCGTGAAAAGGGGGCAAAGCAAAGGATAAAGATAAGAAGTAGAAATAATAAAGTATATATTTATGGATAATGCATTGAATTCATAACAACTAAACATGTTTTAATTTAAAATGCATTTTAAAATACTGTAATTAAAAATTGTTGATAGTTCATGGTAATATATTAGTTCCTTCAAACAAAAGTGCTATAGTTGCAAAACTATTCATATAATCACCACAGTTTACAGGAAGTAACCTGGGTAAAGCATTTATGTCATCCTCCATTTGTCATTTAGGAGCTGGCAAACTCAGAACTGGATTCATGGTAGACCAGTTGGAAATGATATCTGAAACAGGCACTGTCTGCTTCATAAGGGCCATGTGCATCTTACTCTCTGGAGCCAATGTAGGAGGGGAGTTCACCCCCAAGGACGGTGGAGCCATGTCTGCCAGGGCCCAGGTATTAGGAAATAATCAATACCACACAGGAAAATCAAGCAAATGGATGCATTATGTTCCTGGCTCTATCTATACAGTGTAAAGAGACCTGCCACCTGTATTTTATAGGTCAAGTGTCTGAAGTTCAGAAAGATAAAGACTTGCTTAGCCACCCAGCTGGAGACAGAGCCAGAGTCCAGGTCTTTCTGAGGCCAGAGTCCATGTTTTTCTCAGGATGAGTCTGCAGAATGCTTCCTCACACCCAACCTCTTTCACTGATCTCCAGCCCAATCCCTCCCCTTATTGTGAAGGGCCTTTTCCCTTTGATCTGGGTATGATTTGGGCCCTGCCTGGCAATTCTACCTGGCCACATTTACAACCTCTCAACTTGGTGCTTCCCAGCAAGTGCATGTCTCTCTCTTGGCCCCCAGGAGGCCTCTCAGAAGACCTGGAAGACCCAAGTGTCTTCTCCGTGGTCTTGTGAGCCCATGCTGTGAGTTGTGGCCCACTATGACATAGCACACATCACAAAAGGATAGTGATCTCCCACACAAGTGCAGGTAAAACAAGAGGGCCTGAGTGAAGGGTCTGGGCTCTGAGCTCTTCTCTCAGGACCTGACTCATGCTCATGCATCCATTTCTATAAAATGTGTTTATTCAGATCACTCAGACGCTTTTATGGATTTTTTTAAAATGTAGTGTCAAATAAACCAACTATAAGACATATGTTATGATGTAATTGAGGATATTCATATGCAGCTATTTGATGAAATTTGGAAACGATTAATTTTTAGAATTAGAGTGGAATTTGATTGTTATAGTTACAAAAACATGTTTACATTTTAAAGAAGCATAGTGAAATATACTTGCAACAATACACAAATACACAAGCACAATGATATCACAGTGTTGTTTATAATTCCAAAATACTGGAAAAAATATTAATGTCCACACATCGGCAAGTGGAGGCACAAACTATGATCCAAACAATGGACAAATTTGCAACTGTAAAAAACTAAAATTTTTTTTTGAACTTTGAGATGATTTCTGTGATCTATAAATGAAGTGAAAACAACAACAAATTAAGAAGCAAAAGGATCTCTGTAGTATGTTATCCTTCATGTGAGGAAGAACAGTTATAAGAAAATATACATTGAACAAGATAAAAACAAATGAGAAAGTTAAAAATCAATGTCACTGGTTCCCTATGGGGGTGGAGGGAGAAGAAACAATAGAAAAAGAAGGAATGGGAATGGGACAGTACTGATGAGTAGGGAACCACGTTTCTCTGTGGACATTTTTTTGATTAAACATGACCATGCTAAAACTCTGCATGCCAGAGAGCAAAGAATTAATTGAAAGAAACAAGAATGTGAAGCAAACCTAAACTGGAATACAAACACTAACAATCTAACAGCATTTCAAATGAATAATGTAACCAAACTGAAGTGGTGAGGGAGAAACTAACAGGTAGATATCTTTGGAAAACATCATTTTGACTAACTAGTGTGAGGTTGAAGACATAAACGTCCAAGATAAACAGAAAAATATTGTACTCTGTTTAGTAAATTTGTTGCTGATGCAGGTACATATTAGCAGTTCTGATACTCCTTGATGTGGATTAGGAGTGAACAAATACATAAATGCTTGATATTTTAGCTATCAGAGCCAAGTTTATCACTTGTCAGAGAAAGTTCATTTAAGGTCTAAACATAACTATTGAATTGAAATACCTGGTATCACTATGAACTCATGATTTGTAATTATGCACATGAAGACAGATACAGAAATACATATAAAATTAGGTCTATAGGTGACATAATACACATATATACATACATTTGTAACTGTTAAGCACCTAGGACCATGCAAACCCCCAGAAGTGAGGACCACACAGAGCCCAGTGCCTAGTTTTGAATACGTTCCCAATTTAAAACAAAAACAATCATTTGAGAAACAGCTGAGTGTGGAGCTGGGACAGAAGACATAAAGATAAGCAGGCAACATTTTTAGTACAGAAAATATGTGGAAATGCTCACAATGGAGGGTCTTGTGTAAAGGACAAGCCAGAAACCACCATGAAGGAACTCTCAAAGGCCAAAGCTGGAACAATTTTCCATCAAAATATTTCTTGATAGTATTAGCTTGCAATCCTTAGATTAAAATATCTATAGGTCTATCATAATGTAAGTAAATAATTGGTGAACAAACAGTTAAATAAGAAAGATGAATAGCACTGGTGTAGAGAAGAATTCCAACTACTAAAAGTGGAAGGAATGAGGGAAATTGAAAATTACTATCAGAGCAACACTTTAGTAATATTTGCCCCAAGTAAGATCCATTATGGATGCTAAACTTAGTTGGTGGAAACTTATTCAGAAGCAGAATATTTTCATGGTCATAAAGTATCTCCAATAAGAAATTTATTAATTCCAGAGGGATATAGTAACAATCGACAAGCCTGGCGGACATGACTTTAATAAGGGATCAAGACTGACATTACCATTAATGAAACACATTATCTCTGGAATGTGATACTAAGTTTGGAAATCATGCATTGAGAAGGGAATGGCCTAACGTGTGAAATACTTTGCAAGAAAAGGAATAACCTTATCAAAAACTGAAAAAACTCAGGCAAACTCCAATTGAGGCACATTCCATAAAATAACTGACCAGTATTCTTCCAAAGTGTCAAGATCACAGAAGACAAATGAACAATAGAACCAAATGAACTTCAAACCCTTTTTAGTGCCTTTATAAATAATATTGAAATGCAACATTAGTGAACCTGAGGACCAGCCCCAGAGTGAGGAAAATAAGCAGAAAATAGCAATTAACTACAGTGTTGACTCTGGAGGGGACTCTGGATTAGAAAAGTGGTCTTGACATTTCAGCAATACCTGGTGTTCCATTAACAATATCACATCAGTGTGAAATCCCTCAATTTGACCATTGAACTCAGGTTATATATGATGTTTTCTGGATAAAGGATGTTCTGAATTCTGCTAGTTCAATAATTTTTTGTAGCTTCAGTAATTTCAAAAAAAAGTTAAAAGGACAAAAATTAATTTATTTTTGATGAAATAAAATGAAGTTGGGATTTGATTCAAATATTGTTGACAGCTGTTGGCAAACATGCCCTCAAGGGGCAGTGGGGGCAGTTCAGTGGGGGCACAGCTAACTTATCAGAGCAGAGCAATATGATAAGGAAAGCAGAGAATGGCTGGGAGGAGAGGCAAGGTGTGCTCCATGCAGGCAAGGGCTTGGCTAGAGAGAAAGGCTGAAGTGTAGCCAGAAGAGAAGGGTCTGCAAACGACTCTAGTAATGCAGCTGAGATCTTGGCATTCAGGGCTGGGACAACTCAGCTGGACTCCTTGTGCTTATATATTTATGCAGCTGTATTCATAATTTCACACTTTTGACATATGTAGATTGTGATCTCACAGCTTTCTCCAAGACTCATTTCCTGAAACCACTCCCCCGTGGCCCCTCTTCTTATCACCACAAGATTTTTTCATATGCTATAAACTTTGCAGACTATCTTATGAAATCCTCCAAAAGTAGAGTTCAAGTGACCTTCTAGGGCAACCTAATGGACTCCAAACCCCTTTTAGTGCATTCATAGATAACACTGAAATACAACATTAGGGCTGGGGATTTAGCTCAGTGGTTTCGCCGCCTGCCGCACAAGTGCAAGGACTGGAGTTTGATCCCTGGTACCAAAAAAAAAACAACCAAAAAAACAAAAACAAGCTCCTGAATCGCAACATTAGTGATTAATCATTTTCTTTTTAATCTGCCATGGACTCTGGAACCTTCAGCTGTGGGAGTGGCTGTTTCCTGTTGGGCCCAGGCCTCTTCCAGGGCAAGCGTTATCAAAATATTTAAGCAGCTATGGTACCCAAATTCAGCTAGCCTTGAACTGCTGAATAAAGAGGCAGCCAGGACTTTGCTCAGGTTAGTGTTGGCTTTTAAAATCTTCATAAATGTTATCATGTCTGTTTCACTATATGGTAATTTTTGCGAGTACCTCATGGTCTTCTGCTTTCTTTGTGTGCTCATGGAGCAATTGAAGTATTGTTTCTTAGCTCAAGGGAAAACAATAATCAATAACTTAGAAAATTAGAAAATGAACTACTTTACAAAGTAGTTGATGACACGAGAAAAGTAAGAGTGGCGTTATTATCAGCAGTCTAAAAATACAACCATAGGAGTGCAAGGAGGTGCACAGGAGTTTACACTAAAGTGGTATCGGACATTAAAGAGGTGGCACTAGTGTGATTCCTACAGGAGACCACACACAAAAATACTGGATTTCTATTTGGGAAGGTCACATATTTGGGAAATCACTTTAGCAATGAACATGGATCTGGGTGGCTGTATGCCTATTGTGCCTTCGAAGTCAAATGTCCAGCGTGGAAACCAACCATCTGTGCCTGCCAATCTGAATCCAAATTACACTCTGTAACTGATTTAATGCCATGTGGGTTCCTTTGTCATTGGCCAAGAACAGGACATTTCTCCTCCTCCTCCTTCCTTCCTTTCCTTTTCCTTTTTTCTATCTCCTGCTGCTCTTGTTCGTGCTTCTCTTTCTCCTTCTCTTTGTCTTTCTCTCTCTTCTTCTTCCCCTTCTTCCTCTTTCAGTGGTGCTGAGACCAAAGGATGGGCAGTGTTTAAAATCTCAAAATGCAAGTGAACATAAATATATAAGACTTTAGAATAGTAAGTCAGGTGGAACTGGATTTAATTCTTGGGCGAACTTAAAAACAACAATGCCCTTCCCTTGAATTGCCATGTTTGCAGTCTAATAGAACATAGGTTGGGCCAGGGATTTAGCTCAGTGGTTTCACCGCCTGCCGCACAAGCGCAAGGACCTGAGTTCAATCCCTGGTACCAAAAAAAAAAGAACATAGGCTAATTCCCTTTATTTGCCAAGTTAAATATTCTCCTGGGCTACCCTGCCTTCAGAGTTATTTCTTAACAAATATTTTTTTAATCCAATTTGCTTCTTTTATGTAGGCAGTTTTCATTGCTTTTAGAATTCTGTGAACAGAATTATCAGGATTATCAAAATAATCAGCATGATTCATAATGGTTCATTATTTCATTACCATAATCCTATCTTAGCACTTAATATCTGTATGCTAACTACACTCTTAAATGCTGAGCCCTATAAAGGAAATGGAAAAAGAAATCTGTGACTCTTCAGCTACCATATTGTCTGATAAACAGACTATGAACTGAATGTTGCAAAATATGCCACGAAAACAAATTAGGACAATTTCTCTACTCCTGAGAGCTCACAATCAAGTGAGTATCTGTAGGGAGGGATAAAAAACCCTGTAACTTTTGTAGGCTATGAAAATTCAGAAATAAGACATAACATGAAGAAACTAGTATGAATATCAGAAGAACTGGGTTTGAATCTAAACTTTTTCAGGTACAGGCTAGCTGTCAATTATAACACTCCAACCATTTCTCAAAAATTTGGAGGGAGAACCAGATGATTTCTCAGTTCCTCCCTTCCTCTATACCCTGGGAAGTCCTGAAGGGAAAAAAAGATACATCTGTGAAACACAGAGCAAATACATAAGGTACCAAAGTCACCAAGGAGGACATAACATAATGAGAGTCAGTAGTGTTTTGGAATCATTGTAAGCATAAAAAGAATACAACGGTCCCCGGTACCAAAAAAAAAGAGAATACAACTCTACTGGAAAGCTCCAGAATATAAGAGGCCCTATGACAAAAAATCATAATACCTATGGGCAAAGATACTGAAATGTAATGGAGAACATGCACTGCATGATGTGCTGCAGACAGCTTCTTTATACTTCTTTATATATCCATGGGGAACAACTTTAATGTAAGCATAAGAAAAGACACACGTGAAGGATACAAAAACAGCTGAGGCTGGATGGTGGTACACTGGTGGGTAGGAGGGAGCCTTACAGGGCAGAAAGGACAAGTCCTTGATTCTCAACCTGGTGGCCTTCTCCCATGACTTTATCTTGCTTAAGGGAGTGGTGTTATTTGTGTTGAACTCTCAGGAACCCATAAAGTGTAGCAATTACAGGACACATTCTGCTCTGTCAGTGTTTACAAGCCTGTGCTTGGTCTCTTTAGGGCAGGGACCAAGTCAGGCAGGTATCTTGTTCCCTACCAATCCTTGTCATTGCTTGACACAGGGAAACTGCTCAATAGTTGTTAGTTAGGAAGTAATTCTTGCAAAAAGAATTAAGATGTGTTATATATATGCCAACTCCCCATGATGAATATAATCATTATATATGGCAAATGTGTACTAATAAAAATTTAAAAATAAGCAGATAAAGAGATAAAAAAGAAGTAATTAGGTAATTGAATCCTTGCTTTTTACTGAACCCTGTGATTTGGTAGGCAACCCTGATCCAACTTACCCAGCCCCATTGCAGAGCCTGACTGGTCCATTTGAGCGGCTCTTCCTGGCTCCCTTCTACATGCTCTTCCCCCAAGCAGCTTGGAACAGAACAGTGGTTCTCAACCACCGGTGATGCTGTGTCTTTAGGACATTTGGCAAAGACTAGAATTGTCCTTGATTGTCACAAACAGGTGCGGAGAGGAGTACCACACCATGTGGCTGGATGCGGCTTAGTGAACACACCCCAGTGCACAGAACAGCCATGACAACAAAGCCTTGCCCAGCCCAAAATGTTCATAGTGCAGAAAGCCTTGGAATAGAGCAACACAGAGCTGTCACACTTTGGCCAGCCCCAGTTGGGTGTATTTCTTACATTGTACAACAACCCAGAGCACATGCAGGCAGATAAGCATAGTCATATCAATGCAACTAAAATTAAACCTTCACCAAAAAGTACTTAGTGTTACCATAGATGACACTGAAAATTTCTATGACATTGGAACTTAAAGATGCTACTCAGAACCTATGGTGTTGATTTTATAACCCACTGATAACGATGGCTCAGAGTTTGTAAGACACTGTTACAGAGAAGCTCTAAGACAGTGTCAAAGAAGAGTGGGAATGTTGGGTTCCCACATCATGGAAGTAATGTAGCATTGATATCCTCATGTAACTTTAGAATGACAATGGCTCTATATCAATTTTTACAATTAAATGAGGATAAAGAATAAGAAACTGCCTGTTATGTAGCAGGTCAGTTGCAGTTCTTATAACACAGGTTACTTCCCTTACAATACAAGTTAGGGGAGCAATTACTCCTTTCCTAGAGTGTAAAGTAAAATTCAATCCAGCAATGGAAAAACAATTTCAGTAGAAGAAAAAACCATGCACCTGCTTCTGTGGGGAGAAGACAGATTGTGGCTATAGTCAGGGAGGACTAAGCCTCATTGAATATTTGAGCTAGAGAGGGACTTTGAATGCCAAAGAGCTGGACAGGGACCTTGGGCCTGTCACCTTCTCCCTGTCAGATGTCCTCTGGTTTTTAAGGTCCCTTTCAGGTTCCCAGGTCCTTCCAACAGATGGGACCTGTGCTGTGTGTTTACATCCTCAAAGTAGGGAAAATGGCATTGTGAAACAGGTTTGGTATAATTTCAGGACAGTGGACCCAGGTGAGGGAGCTTCTCTAACTCTTCCACGCAGAGGCAGACACTCCTTTGTGCTGTTGGATCACTAGTCATAATCCTAAAGTACATTTTGCTTCTATGCATTAATTCTTTCACTCACTTGCATTTAGTGAAACCAAGACTCCTAATATGGCAGGGAAGCCGGTGCTTCACTACTTCAATGGACGGGGCAGGATGGAGTCCATCCGGTGGCTCTTGGCTGCAGCTGGAGTAGAGGTAGGTTGTCAGTTCTTCTTATGTTAGACCTAAAAATTTTTTCCATTTAGTTTATTGGTACATTTTAGATATACAATACAGTTACATTCATCATTGGAGTCTTGTACCTTTACATGATGTATCTTGGTTCTTATTTTTTTCCCC